ATAGGCAATCAATTATAGACAATCAATTACATAGATTTGTAGATAATTATTTGTAGACTTTTAGATAATCAATTAGAGATTAGTAGGTAACCAATACCACATTAGTAGATCAATTATAGATAATCAATTAGAGATTAGTAGGTAACCAATACCACATTAGTAGATCAATTATAGATAATCAATTATATGTAATCAATATACGTAATCAATATACGCAATCAATAACTAATCAATTACTGACAACCAATTATAGATTATCAATTATAATAATATATATTTTACTTGTGATAGTACTTATCACAATAACAACATCATATAATTTTATAATTTATAAAAAAAAAAATGAATTTGAATAATGGGGGATTATTCAGAAAAACACCAATCTTAAAATAGTTGAGAGGTTTTCTTGAATAATTTAATTTACAATAATAATTATATATTACCAACATTTACAAGTAACAATAACAATTTTGAGAAGAAAATAAGAAAGAAATGTCATTAGATAGAATAAGTGGTTATTAATGTCTATGCCTAGCGATACTCATAACTGGCCTCCCTGAAAAAATAATGGCTTGTCGTTCCTTTCCAAAAATAAATACAAATAGTAACATCAAGCTTTTAATATTCAAAAAATGGGTGAAAGATGAAGAGTTCCTACCAGGGGAGGGAGTGAAGGGGATAGTGGGTTAGCCAGAAAATGTGGAATTAAGATCACAGTTTTATCTGAAACTACATGTAACTTAGGGAACCCGTATTCAGATTTGTTTAATTGTGCAGTTTGGAATGATTTACGATTGTCGTTAAATTGCTTATATACCCCTAGTTTGGGAAGTGGGAACAGGTTTTTATCTTAAACTTAATTTAAGGGAACCTCTATTCCTCTTATCTTAATTTGACCGAATTTGGAATTATTCACAACAGATGTTAATTTGCTTTTACAGGTTACATTTTTCTGGTATTTCGAGTTTTTTTGGAGTGGTGGTGGGGGTGTATCATTTATTTTGGATAGACTATCTAACAATCCGAAATCAGTGCAAAATAAACCTAAGTCTGGATATTTTGATTATTTTTGGTGGAGGTGGGGTTTGGGGTGGGGTGTGTGTCTGTTCGAAATAACATGCAAGGTGGGGAAACAACTGAGCGCCAACTGTCATGGGAATGGCTTAAGATTAGAATTTACGAGATCACAGATTAAGGCATTGTCATTGAAAATATTATCAAGTTTGTTCCCGCTCTCCATTGTCTGTAGACGTTCCCCCACAATAGGTTACACAAAGTACACCAAGCAACAGACCAACACATATTTGAGTTCAGCTGGCGCTCATTCTAGGAATGCACTAATATAACATTAAAAAAAAAAGAACAACGAAAAATTATTGCACTAAAAAAAGAAAAAATAGCCAACAAGACGTCATGAAAAATATCTGCCAGAGAATAATAGTCAAAAATATCTGACAGAACAGTCAAAAATACCTGACAGAACATAGTCAACAGAACAGTCAAAAATACCTGACAGAACAGTCAAAAATATCTGACAAAACAAAGTCACAAGTATCTGTGATAGTTACAGAACATAGTCAAAACAAGTAGACATTATTAAATCAAACACTTAAAATCTCCAGCGACTCTTGTAGACTGGACAGCCTGCACTAAATGACATCAGACTGGTTCCTGCGTCACTCCTTTTCTGACTTCAATATTCTGATATCTATATGCAAGTCAGAAAAGGAGTGACGTAGGAGCGAGTCTTACGTATTAGAGCAGGTTATCCAGTCTACGCCTCTTGTACCTAAACAATAACAGGAGTGACGTAGGAGCGAGTCTGACGTCATTTAGAGCAGGTTATCCAGTCTACGACTCTTGTACCTAAACAATAACAGCTCAAATATACAATGGATTAGAAGCAAATGGTATTTGACGAATAACCAGCTTTACGGCTTTAAGCGTTTTAGCACTGACAAACTTAATATTAAATATTAATACAAAATATTATACACTTCTATTATATCTACAATCAATTAACCATGACAATGTAAAACAAAGTTAATTAACTAGAACAATGTTAAACAAGTCAATTAACTACAACAATGTATAATAATTTAATTAACTAGAAAAATGTTAAACTTGTAAAAAGTAATTAATTAGGGAAGGTAAATCTATTAATTAAATAACTATAACAACAATATGGGTGTTAATCCATTCATTAATTAACTTGGAACAATGTTAACAATGTTAATCTTTTCATTAATGAACTTGGAACAATGTTAAACATGTTAATCTTTTCATTAATTAACTTAGAACAATGTTAACAATGTTAATCTATTCATTAATTAACTGGGAACAATGTTAAACATGTTATTCAGTTCATTAGTTACCTGGAACCATGTTAATTAATTAACCTGGAACAATGTTAAAGATGTACATCTGTTAATTAATGAAGACAATGTTAATTTGTTAATTGATAAATTACGAAAAATTAACGAAGACAATGTTAATTTGTTAATTGATAAATTACGAAAAATTAACGAAGACAATTCTAATTTGTTAATTGATAAATTATGAAAAATTAACGAAGACAATGTTAATTTGTTAATTGTTAAATTACGTAAAATTTAAACATGCTCATCTGTGATTAAAGCCACTGATCATCATTGGAGTGATTTTGAATCGAAATGAAATGGGGTTTAACATTCTACTGTTCTCCCCCGAACTGGGCTAATGCAGACGGACATACCCCATACGGTGTACTATGAGGGAAATTTTGTCCAGACAAATTCCCACTGCCAAGGGATCTTATTAGATTGATTTTAGTGTTAAGCTAATCAAAATTGAAGTATCTACTAAAATTTGGATTTTATCTTAAGTTAAGATTTCAAGAAACAAGGCCCTGATTTGAAATAATGATCAGTGGCTTATATCTAAACACTGACATCTAAAGAAAAACCAAAAGATTATAAAAAAGAACAAGTAATACTACACTAAAATTTGTGACTATTAAATGCAAAGTCATAAAAAAACCTATATACAAATAAATATGTAGCAACGACATCTGGCTACTATTTAGCAACCATAATCAAGTACTATTTAGTAACCATAATCAGGTACTATTTAGTAACTATTACTCTACTATTTAACAACAATAATCGGGTACTATTTAGCAACCATTACTAGCTACTATTTAGTAACCATAACCAGGCACTATTTAGCAACCATTATTAGCTACTATTTAGCAATAATAACCGGGTACTATTTAGCAACCGTAACTGGCTAATATTCAGCAACCATAACCTGTTACTATTTAGCAACCATAACCTGTTACTATTTAGCAACCATAACCTGGTACTATTTAGCAACCAGAACTGGCTTCTATTATGTTAGCAACCATAAGCCACTACTTTTGGTCTGTTAGTTACAATTCTATGGCAACCTAGAAATGTTACAGTAACACCCCCATGGGTTCCTATGGTACAATATTTGCAGCAATAGCAAATGAGTATCCTTTGTGCAGTATGAAAAAATTTAAACATATATTTTAATTAGAACTGTATTTCTATTTAACCCCGCTAAGCAAGGCTCCTACTAGCCCTAAATAGAGCCATATATAGATAGAGTTTGGCCAACTATTGTCTTAGTTATTGGGAAACAAAATTTCTTTTTGCCTAATCTTAGTGCTGTGCTATTGCAGATTTTGCTTGTTATCCACTGGATTTTATACAGAATTATCATTCCGTTATTATATATCTGTTCTGTTCTAACAGTGAGCTATTAAACTTAAATATACGTTATGCAAGAGCTAAATCTGCCTATTGCAGGTCTTTCTTTAGGCCTGAAATGTTATCTAAATTATTAATTAGACATTAATTAACGTATCCAGACCATAATCAACACTCGATGCCATCGCTGGCCCGTGATATTTACTGGATTTGAATACATTTTGTGATGGATGATTTAACGTCAAAATGGATAATTGAGACTTTGTTCTTTTATCATACCAACGTTAGTAATAATGATCGTGGCTAGGCCTAAAATTCAATGGTTAATATCTCGGTTCTGAGTGAAGTAATTTGACTGAAATTTTCAGCACTGTCAGCTTACATCTAATATCCCATAATGCCCCTTTAACGACTGGGTAACCAAATAGTGACCATGGCCAGATTCTCTCTATATATTGCTCTGCCCTAAACTATAAAATCTAGTTTGTGCTCTTAATACACAACAATTCTTTACTGGCCTGGAAATAACAAAATGTCCGACACTACTGAAGTTATACAGGTCACAATTCTATGGAAGACAATTACTGCTTATTACTGAGCGACGTTTTGACTAGGCTTCTCTAGTCATTATCAAGCAATGATAAAATGTATATTTCCATAGGATTGTGACCTGTATACTCCAGTTCAATTACTAAATGCCATTGAAACAATTACTGAAGTTCTTTGTACCTGATATTGAAAACGAACCAAAAACTCTGGACAACTGGTCTTACTAAGAGATGTTTATGGTTCTACCTGATATTTAAAACGAACGAAGAACCCTGAACGACTGTCTTACTATAAAATGTTTATGGTTCTAGTATAAGCATTGTTTCAGACAATATATACATCATCATATGCTTATTATCATCAAAAACATTAAGATGACAAAGCAGATTATAATGATGATAAAGTCTTCATCAACAACACTTAGGTATAATTGTGATCATTATAGAGTTAAGAATCTTATCTAGTCTACCGGTAGTCAAAAAACTTATGGCTACATATGGCTATCTATAATTTAGATCTAGTCTACCAGTAGCCAAAAAACCTATGGCTATATATAGCTATCTATAGATCTTGTCTACCAGTAGTCAAAAAAACCTATGGCTATATATAGCTATCTATAGATCTTGTCTACCAGTAGCCAAAAAACCTATGGCTATATATAGCTATCTATAGATCTTGTCTACCAGTAGTCAAAAAAACCTCTGGCTATATATAGCTATCTATAGATCTTGTCTATCAGTAGCCAAAAAACCTATGGCTATATATAGCTATCTATAGATCTTGTCTACCAGTAGCCAAAAAACCTATGGCTATATATAGCTATCTATAGATCTTGTCTACCGGTAGTCAAAAAAACTTATGGCTATCTATAATATAGATTTAGACTACTGGAAATCAAGAAAACTTATGGCTACATATGGCTATCTATAGATCATGTGTACTGGTAATCAAAAATATTATGGCTACATGTATATGGCTAAAAATATTATATGGCAAAATACATATATGTATATGGCAATCAAATCAAATGTCACTATGGTTAATAAAGTACTTTGTTAACCCTTTGGTGCTAGGATCGTGTCCATAACTAGTTCTGCTAAGGTCACCTTAAACCACCCAAACCATATGAAGAGCTGCGATGCCTCCAGTAACTAGTACATGGTCCTACTAAATAGGAAGCTATTCATATGGCTGGTGGTTTGAGGTGGTCTATGGAACAGTAGTTTCTGACTGTACAAGTACCATTGTAGGGTCAAGATCTAAATATTAAGGCCATCTGAAGATTTCGTCATGGTCATGAGATGTAAACAGGGTTAGGGCACGTATTTGTTCCCGAGGATTGTGGGTTCAGGTTAGCGTTAGCCCTGTTTACATCTCATGACCTTGACGAAATCTGCAGGTGACCTTAATATTTAGATCTAACCCCACTGTAGTATCTGTATCAGAATTCAAAAAGTGAACCTATTGTATGCTCTATGGAATATGTCATCAGATAAACAAGTAAACCTTTACTCGTCTATATCAGGTAGATGTGTTAATATAAATAATTGTTCAACCAAAAGAAAGATGCAATTTTCTGTGCTGATTTTTTTTCTTTTTTTTAGTGGGATGACGATAAACCAGTAAGAGAACCTATAACATGGGATCCTATTGGATAAACCAGTAAGAGAACCTATAACATGGGATATCCAATTGGATAAACCAGTAAGAGAACCTATAACATGGGATATCCTATTGGATAAACCAGTAAGAGAACCTATAACATGGGATCCTATTGGATAAACCAGTAAGAGAACCTATAACATGGGATATCCAATTGGATAAACCAGTAAGAGAACCTATAACATGGGATATCCTATTGGATAAACCAGTAAGAGAACCTATAACATGGGATATCCTATTGGATAAACCAGTAAGAGAACCTATAACATGGGATATCCCATTGAATAAACCAATCAGAGAACCTATAATATGGGATAACCCATTGGTTAAACAAGTCAGTCAACCAATGTAGCTAGATATCAGAATTCAAAGATGGAATCTATCATAATCTGTGTATCATTTAATCTTGTGTATCTAGCGCTAATTTCTTTCACGTTCTTTCAATATTAAATCTTTTAAAAACTCGAAAAAATGGTTTAAAATCACCAAAAATCATCTAATTTGTACTTGTGTCCAGAACTTCTCGGTCACTGTTGGAAAATAATCAACGCAATTGATTATTGATGTATAATGATTAATTTTTGAACAGTGGTCAGAAAATTAAATACTTGTAAATTGGAGACGCATTATCAAAATTAATCACTCAGCTTTAAACTAGACGCAAGATTAAATAATATCCAGGTTACAGTGTTGCATTACATATAATTGTATCATGTGTTAAACCTTTACTCGTTTTGTTCCTGTAGATGTGGATGAAGATGTGTTAATATAAATAATGCGATATCTTTGTTCGACCAATAAGATGTATGTGACGTCAGTAATGACATGTAGCTGTTCTCTAAACTTCGCTCTTTTAACTGATAATCTAAACGATACTCCATTTCTGAAAAATACAAATGAAAACATCATTTAATGAATTTTTACAAGAGAGAACATTCTGCACACAGTCAACTTTCTACCTTGAGAGTAGATCTCTGTAATGAATGGTCACCATATTGAAAAATTGGTGTACTATTTTGTTATGTGGTTCTAATCCGGTTTACTTCTTTAAAAAACTAAATAAACATTTTCAGTTTCATTAAACATGAAATTTTAATCAGAAGACATACTTCTCAAAACTCTTGAAGTATACTTAAAACAGCATTAGGTAAGATTAGATAATGAGCGACAGTTCTCGCTATAATAGTTAAAAAAAAACCCCAGATAATAAAAAGAGAATATGCTGAAAATTTCAATCAAATTACTTCCCTTTGAGCCAAGCTATTGGAGATACAATTATAGCCTAGTCTCGACTGTCATTACTATCATTGTTACGATAATTAACAAAGTCTCGATTATCCATTTTTACATTATTTTCATCGACCACAAAACGTATTCAAATCTACTAAATATCAGAGCCATCTGATGGCATCAAGAGTTGATTATGGTCTTGGTAAATTAATTAATGTTTTAATTAATAGTTTATATAATATTTCAAGCCAAAAGAGAGAGAGAGGCAGATTTAGTTCTTGCATAATGTATGTTTAATGTATTGAACTAAAATCTGCAATGAAAGAATTTAAATGTTGATCAACTAGAGGGGGTAAGTTTCATATGAAGAGCGTTTCACCTGGTGGACGATTGGTACACACAGTTATGATGACCAGACCTAGAGTGTCCACAAGAATTTTCAAAGTGATCAAGGGCCATAACTCTAGCAGTAATTATCAGAAATCATTGACAATCACTGGGCTTCTTCGTCTCACGACCTTAAACACTGTGTTGAAATTTAAAGTCAATCGCATATTAACTTTGACCTCTAGAGCGTCCACAAGATTTTCCAAAGTGATTAAAGGCCATAACTCTGGCAGTAATTATTGGAAATCATTGAAAATCAACAGGCTTCTTCGTCTCATGACCCTTAACACTGTGTATATGAACTTCATTCCTCTAGAGCGTCCACAAACAATTGTGGACAGACAGACGGATGGGGGCGACGGCAATATATGACCACATTTCAGTGCCGTTAAATCCTGAACAGGAATTGAGGAACAGGCTAAGCTTATCAACTCATCTCTCCAAATATCACATATCATATGTGTATCTTTATGTTTTCAACGAAACACCCAACAAATGCACAAAATTCTTGTTAAGGGCTGTAGGGTTTTATGAAGCCACCCTCAAGGATTCTCGATCTAAAAGAATCATGCACAAAATAAATATATCGGTCATTTGGATTTTCTCAAACAGAACTTATAATTTCTGTAGTCAAATCAAACACCATAAATAAAAAGAGACCTGAAAATAAAATCTAATAAAAGCTAATCCCGAACACATAAACTACTCTACATATACTAAGGCCTTTCTGTGTTACCCAGATAGATACACCAAATAGGAATTTAAACAAAAGACCGAATTATCAACCGTCAATACACGTCATTCAGCTGTCAGGACCTGTCACATTTTTGCATTGCGTCTTTATTGTAATTGAATACTGCGTTTTCCTCTTTTTATTGTTGGGGGGTTGGGTGGCTGATTGGTTAGAGCATGCAAGTTGTATCACAAGGTCTGTCATTGAGTCAACTGGCGTGGTTTCGATTCCCTGGTTGTAGGTGACAAGGAGTAGGGTCGCCTCTCCAACCTTGTGGGTTTTCTTCGGGTCCTTCGGTTTTCTCCCACTGCTAAAGTTCCCTACGCACAAGCAAATTATTGAAATAAAACTGAATCATATGGTAGTCCTGACATGCCCTAGTTTGTGTCGAGTGGACATTAAACTCTTAAGATATCTTGACTGGAAACAAATCCAAAACATGATAATAATAATAAATCTACAAAAGTCTGTTTGTTTCCAACGAAAAACAAAAATTTGAGCACATGAATCATTTATGCAAAAAATGCACAATACTACATGTCTAAAAGAGCAGACAGTTGAAGAAGAAAAGGAAGTTTAAGTTTAATCAGCAGCCATATTCTCAGAAAAATGGAGTATAGTTTCAATTACAAGCCAATATCGCAGAGTCTAGTTTCAACCACTGGCCCAAACTAAAAATTTTGAGAGATCGGAGGCCTTGGTCACAAAAACTTACATCCGCTAAAATCAATCGTAATTTAAAGGCGCTGCGACTCTTAAATTCATGATTTTAGGGAGTTATGTTTTCGAGAATAAAACCTCCAGTCAGAAAGATGAGAATGTTCATTAAGGCCACACCAATTTTGTTCTTCAGGAATATCTATTAAATTTCGCTCGCTTCTTAGGAACAGAATAAATAAAATTAAAGAAAAATAATTGTTTGCTCTGCTCATAGACTTGTAGTTCTGATTATTAAGTTTTGAAATATTAAAGATACATTATGTAAGATTTAGATAAAGAGCTAGCCATTCTTGCTATAATAGTTCGAAAATAGATAATGTAAAATGAATACTTTGAAAATTTCATTCAACTTATTCTATTACGAGCGAAGATATTAGCCTTTGAAGGTTTGACCAGACGTGTGCAATAATTTGAACCACCGTACTGATTGTTTGAAGCTAAGTCTCTCTCCTCCATGTTTAGCTTAAATCAAAATATGGCTGAACTGTTCTAATCTATTTAATATCAGAGAAATCTGATGCCATCGAGAGTTGACTATGGCCTGGATAAGTTAAATAATGTCTTATTAATAAATTTAGATAAAGTTTCAGGCCTAAAGAAAGACCTGCAATAGGCAGATTTAGCTCTTGCATAATGTATGTTTAAGTTTTGAAATATTAAACTAAAAATTTATTCCTGAGACTCAAGTGGTAACTGGTTTATCAAGGACCAGAAGAACTGAAATTCAATTTGGCTTGGCCTACGTAAGCGCTTAAGAATAAATAAGACCCTGAGTACACCAAGAGTTGTCTTCCATTACCAAAAATAGTAATACTCGTCTTACCACAGTTTACACATTCTCTCTCTACGTGAACGGTTTTGGGTTTACTTCTTCTAATGACACATACTGCTGTTTGATAAATAATCAAACATTATAAACATCAACATAATTCAAATCTCACTGTCTGACTCCAATAATAATAGTTATTATCTCCCTTGATATTATACCTTGCTATCATTAAATAACAACATAACGTCATGCTATATGTACCTTAATGCCAATCTCCCTGTCTGACTCCAATAGTAATAGTTCTTATCTCCCTTGATATTATGCCTCGCTATAATTAAATATCAACATATCGTCATGCTATACATGAACCTTAATGCCAATCTCACTGTCTGACACCAATAGTAATAGTTATTATCTCCCTTAATATTATACCTTGCTATCATTAAATATCAACATATAGTCATGGTATACAATAATTTAAACCTGACTGACTCCAATATTAATAGTTCTTATCTCCCTTGATGATAAATATAGTGGGTGATCGATTCATAGTCCGGAACGTCCCGAATTGACAGAATTGCAATCGAGTGACGCGGAATTCAGCCCTGTCACAGTTCTGTCAGTACCAACAGCTGAGGTGGCGTGAGTAGAATTGTGACGTATTTTAAGCCGGCACATGCGTTGTACTCCGAAATTCTCCTTTTCACTCGATTGACACTATTTTCGGAATTGAGAGAATTTAATTCCGGAACGTTCAATCCAGTATTCCCATTGGGTTTGCTCGATTGTCAGTTCAGAACATCCCAAATAAACATAATTGCAATTGATACAGTTCTGTCAGTCCCGACAACGGAGGTGGTGTTAGTAGAATCGTGACGTAATTAAACTCAACGAGTATGTTTCAGCTGTCATAGTTGGTCAATATATTTTCTTATGCAGTCAGCGTATGCATTCTAGCCCCAAATTGCCATTTTCACTTAATTGTCACTATTTTGGGGATTTAGAAATTCAATTCCGGAACGTTCAGACGAGTATTCCCTACAAGTTGCTATCAAAATATATCAACATTTGGTGATCCCCGATTGTCAAACGGGAACACCTGGAATTGACAGAATTAAAATCGCGTGACACAGAAATCAGTCCTGTCACAGTTCTGTCAGCCCCGACAACGGTGGTGGTGTGAGTAGAATCGTCAAGCTGTCATGGTTGATTGATATATTTTCTCACATCGAAAAAACTGTGCTCAGTCTTGAATCTGGTTTTAGTATTTTTAAAAGGAATAAAGTTAGTTACAGTGAATATTTCCGGTTAATTTTTAGTTGTCGTTACAAATGTATCAATATTGTTTGTATGTCTGGTGAAGTGGAACATAAGTATAAAGTGTTTTAGTCAAGGAATTAACAATCAGCCTAGAGCAAAGAAGTATATGAAGAGCCCCAGGGAAGAACGATCTAAGTCATTTTTTCAACGAACCCCAGTTAATGGCACCATCTGGTAGCAAATTGTATAAGCTTTCTGTGGAACAATCAATTTCAGGTAAAAACGATCAGAGTCACATCTAACCAAGGCTCTTCTGAAATGGTCTCCCAGACAAATAAGTCCATCGTACCCTTTATTTGACCTTAATTTGGCTGAAAAGTGGAAGTCAGTTGTTGTTCTGGTAATTATGATTCGTATTAAGTTGTTCTCGAAAAGACAAAAATGTGACTTAGATCGTTCTTCCCCTGGACTCCGCATATATCTAGCTCTCTTATTACTGCAATCTGATTAAAACACAGATCTTGTTTCGTTTCGTTTTTTTATAGTTCAAAATTTTGTTTTACTTGTCGTTACTACACTAGGATCGGGAAGAGTTGTTATATAACCCACGTTCTGGATGATGTGAGGGATTAGCCAATGAAACAGTCTGTTACGGCAAGTTTTTTGCGTGAGGTCCACGGAACTGTGGGTAACGCACTAGAAACATCAACACTGATTGGTTAATCGAATGTCTGACGTCATAGAGTCAAATGCCGCTCGTATGACCCCAGACACAACCTTCGAGTACAACTGGTCAGATCTTCATGTAGTGTAGGCCATCGAAAGTATAAAAAAAAAAAAACGAAATATAGAACTGTACTTTAATCAGATTGTTATTACTATCCTCCTTACCTACTAACATATCATCTACCTGTAATTTCCAGTCCCTTCCCTGCTAAAATATTGATGTTTATTAGGCCTACCTGTTCAAACCCCATCCAACCCCTCCCCCACTAATATATTGATGTTAATTAGACCTACCTGTTTTATCTATATCTTTAGGATCCAGATATTCTACCTGTAATTTCTGGGCCTCATTATCAAATTTCTGTAGCATCTTTAACTCTGCGCTCAGTGCTTCCTCATCTTTGGATTTACGACCAGACAGCCATTTAGCTAACAAAACAAAATAAATTTTAATTGTATTTTAGGTAACAATATACAAGCCATGCTGATGTATGTCAATTTCAAGCAAAATAAAAAAACAACCTGAAATTCAAATTCCCATTATATTGTGGTTTTTTTTTAGGAGAGAGAGAGAGAGAGAGAGAGAGAGGTTTTAAACATCCACTCAACCCCAAAATAGGTCATTTTGGGAATAACATGTAGTTCAATTTTATTTCATTAATTCGCCTGCGCGTAAGTAAAAGGGTCTTTAGCAGTGGGAGGAAACCGGAGAACCCGGAGAAATCCCACAAGGTTGGACAGGCGACCCTACTCCTTGTCACGTATGACCGGGGAATCGAAACCACACCAGTTGACTCAATGACAGACCTTGTGATACAACTTGCATGCGCTAACCAATCGACCACCCAACCCCCCAACAATAAAAAGAGAAAAACGCAGCATTCAATTACAATAACCACGTTAACCATTTGGCCATCCACCCACCCTGTAATCTACAGATTAATCTAACTTACAAAAAGAGAACTTTTTTGATGATTGACTGCTGGTTTTCTCGGAGGCCGAGTCTGAGTCACACTTATCGTATGGATCACTAACTTCTTCGATCTTTAGAGATTTATTATTTATCTGTTCCTCGGACATGGTTTTTAACGCAGCGTAAGCTCTCCGTGTTAACTTGACGTATGGTACTTTCTTTGGTGAATTATAATGATGAATGGGTAAAGGCATTATGGTAGCATAGTGTTTCAATACAAGAGGTTCTAATCTGTAAGCCTGAAACATATAAAATATGATATTAATTTCACTCAGTAATTTAATATATTTATTAATAAATGGGTGAGGGGGGGGGGGGGTCGAAGCTGTATTTTGTGGTGTCTTTTTCTATCAAAAATGAAATGAAATGGTGTTTAACATCATACTTTTTTGCTCCGACTGGGCTAATGAAGACAGGCATACACCATACAGTGTACTATGAGGGAAATTTTGCCCAGACAGCGGCACTATGGCCTACTCTTATATCAAATTCCAACTGCTAAGGGATCTTTTACATGCACAACAATGTGTACACAGGACCTTGTTTTTTTGTCCCATCTGAATGACTAGACAGCTGTCCTTGTCAGGCCCTCCACCCTGCACCACTGACCAGGGAAAACCATGCCTGAAAATCTTGATGAACTTTCTCGGTCAACACCGGGAGCGAATCCGCAGCCTACAGTCTAGCGTGCCTGCGTGTCACCCACTTAGCTATGTTTATCTTTTGAGATGTATTGGTACAATCTGGCTGGTCATGCCATTAAGGTTATCTAAATCTAGAGCGAGAGACAGACAGAGAGACAGAGAGACAGAGAGAGAAATGGGGCTTAACCTCCACTCGACACAAACTAGGTCATTTCGGGACTAACACATAATTCAACTTTATTTCAATAATTCACTTGTACGTAGGGGTCTTTAGCAGTAGGAGAAAACCAGAAAATTCAGAGAAAAACCTACGAGGTTGAATCTAAATGTAGAGAAAATACTTACGACAGGATCAGAAGGATGATAAATATTAAAGAGACGTTTACACACCGACGATGGTATAATATGTTCCTGTGTTCCCGTTCCCTTTGGTCTCATACCTCGTAATGCTAAAAATACAGCAAGTGGTGAACCAAGGCAAAATAGGTTTTCTATCTGAAATTATATTAAAATAGGCTTTCTATCTGAAATTATATTAAAATAGGCTTTCTATCTGAAATTATATTAAAATAGGTTTTCTATATGAAATTATATCAAAAGATAGGTTGCCAGGCAACGTAACATACGCCCACAGCAGCTATATCTTCCGGGCAGTCAACAAGAGTTGTCACATATTTTTACTTTTTTCGGTAATGAAACATTTATAATACATTAAAATCTGATTAAGAGTAACAACTCATTAAGTAATTATCAGAAAACCATTAGAATTTGTTTGTTTTTTATAAAGTTCTGCCCCATGCTAACGTTTAGTATACAAAACTTTTAACATCATGGATTTAGCTGTTCAAGTCATAAAGATTCTTGAAAATCAATATACTTGTTCGTCTCAAGATCTTAAACACTGTGTATAAATTTAAAGTCAATCGGATATTAACTTTAGCCTATAGAGCGTCCACAAGCAATTGTGGACGCCAGACCGACCGACGGACTGACGGACGGGGGCGACAACAATATACAACCACATTTCAATGTGGGCGTATAAAAACCTATCAGAGATTATATTAAAAAAAAAATCTGAAATTATATTAAAATAGTTTTTTTTATCTGAAATTGTATTAAACTACAATCAATAATTCTTCATATATTTGGGTAAAAAGGAAATTAAGTTTAATGTTTTACCTTCTGCTCCAGTTTGGATAATGAAAACTTAAACACTGTGTATAAATTTAAAGTCAATCGGATATTAACTTTAGCCTATAGAGCGTCCACAAGCAATTGTGGACGCCAGACCGACCGACGGACTGACGGACGGGGGCGACAACAATATACAACCACATTTCAATGTGGGCGTATAAAAACCTATCAGAGATTATATTAAAAAAAAAATCTGAAATTATATTAAAATAGTTTTTTTTATCTGAAATTGTATTAAACTACAATCAATAATTCTTCATATATTTGGGTAAAAAGGAAATTAAGTTTAATGTTTTACCTTCTGCTCCAGTTTGGATAATGAAAACTCCATGTAGCCTACACTTATTTCTATTTCTCCGAAAGACTAGACACGTTTCGTTGCCAAGCCCTCTGCACCAATGACAAAGGGAAACCAGGCTGGGAAATCCCGGGAAACCTTCCCAAACAACAGCGAAATCGAACCCAGGAAACCCTAATTAGTGCAACAATGTCATCCTTATTAACAAGCCACTCTGGCTCTCGTTACAAATATAATAGAATAACTTACTGTAAAATTGAGCATTGGTGTAGATTTTTGTTTCTCACGGACTGAGGCTTCGAGTTCATTTACTCTAAAAATAACCAAGTTATAATATTTAATATCAAATAAATACTCTAGTATCTTTAATATACATGAAAGTAAAAAACCTGTGTATTGAGAATGAATGCTGGATACAGGAATATCTTTAATTATATAATAATATACATGCAAGTGGAAAACAATGGAGAGAGAGAGAGAGAGAGGGAGAGAGAGAGAGAGAGAGAGGGAGGGTTTAACATCCACTCAACATAAACTAGGTCATTTCGGGACTAACACATGGTTCAATTTAATTTCAACAATTTTACGTCCTTGTCATGTAGAACCGGGGAATCGAAACCACGCCATTTGACTCAATAACAGACCTTATGATACAGCACACACACATTAACCATTCGGCCCCCTCAACCCCGCACAATGGAGTGAGAATAAATTGGGATTGTAAAACTTGTCTAAGCACTACATTTGAGACCAACATGTTGTAATATGTGAGAATTGACTTGAACAGTGATTTTTCCATTGACCCTTCTACAAATTCCAGCAGTCAAGCTTTCCTTTGGAATGACTGCACGTGTACACGAATGAATCTCAACCTCAGTCGAGGCATATTTTACCCCACGCCGTAACAAAGTTAAAAGAGGGATGTTTCCATAGCATATCTCATAAACCGTTAAAGATATATTTATGAAACTTAGTACACAGTAGTTCTACCTTCTGCTAATTAGAAATTTTCTCAGATTTAATAATCTTTGTGTTTCTATGGAAACAGTTTTGATATACAAGCATGTGGGATGTTGATGACTGAAATGAAATGGGGTTTAATTCCCAACTTTTCAGCGCCGACTGGGCTAATACAGATGGGTATACGCCATGAAGTGTTCTATTAGGGAAATTTGGACATGCCAGCTGTGCTAAGGTCTACTCTTATTTCCAATAAGGATTCTTTTATGTGCACGTGAGGGTATACACAGGACCTCATTTATTTTTGTCCTATCCAAACAACTATACGTTATCTATTTCCAGGCCATCTGTCCTGCAATACTGACTAGGTGGAACCACACCAGAAAATGCAGTTTCTTGGCCAACACAGGGATCAAACAGGACATTTAGGTTAGCTAACGTCTGACTGTGTTATCATGGCTTCTGTACCTAAAGATATTTTTAGACCAAGTAATGATGCCTACCTTCTTCTAGCTTTGTCTAACTCTGCTATTAATTCATCTGAACCACATGGTTGTTGTCGCTCTTCATTCTATAAAATATACAATCAAATATTCAGATCAAATATTATACAAGATTTAGATCAAATATAATACAGAATTCAAATCAAATATTGTACTGGATTCAAATTAAATATAATATAGGATTCAGATCAAATATAACACAGGATTCAGGTTGATTATAATACTGGATTCAGATCGATTATAATACAGGATTCAGATCAAATATAATACTGGATTCAGATCAAATATAATACAGGATTCAGGTTGTTTATAATACTGGATTCAGATCAAATATAATACAGGATCCAAATCAAATTATAATACAGGATTCAAATCAAATATAATACAGGATTCAGATCAAATATAATATAGGATTCAGATCTAATATAATACAGGATCCAGATCAAATTATAATACAGGATCCAGATCAAATTATAATACAGGATTCAGGTCGATTATAATACAGGATTCAGAATGATTATAATACAGGATTTCGGGACTAACATATGGTTCAATTTTATTTCAATAATTCACTTATGCGTAGGTTTTTTTTAGCAATTGGAGGAAACCGGAGAACCCGGAGAAAACCCACGAGGTTGGACAGGCGACCCTACTCCTTATCATGTACCACCAGGAAATCGAAACCACGCCAGTTGACTCAATGACAGACCTTATGATACAGCGCGAACATGTTAACCATTCAGCCATTCAACCCTCCAAATTAAATAAAATACTGGATTCAAATCAAATATTGTCAACAACAAATCATATGTTTAGATTGTTTTTATTGTAAAAACCAGTATGAGTGCACTATATGAACTAGGAACTGAGCATGACGTCATCTCAGCAATCTTGGAATTATGACTTTTATCAAAAATTCGAAGTTTGTCAATGAATGCACAATTGTCCAAAGAACAAACTTACTATAACGGAGGTAACAAATTGGTCGTACATCTTTAATGGATTCCATCCTGTGATTATATCATAGGTTATCACACTTCCTGTATAATACACAAACAGACGTTCATTTAAATATATCACCATAAACAATATACACCACAGTTGATGGAATGAGGGGATTGGGGGAGTTGGGAGGGACGGAGGGAAAGAGTGCTAATGTCCACTACACACAAATGAATGATCTAAAGTGCACACATTAGAACCAGTAGTGATAAGCCCACGAGAGAGAGAGAGAGAGAGAGAGATAGAGAGAGAGAGAGATGGGGTTTAACGTCGACTCGACACAAACTAGGTCATTTCGGGACTAACATACGGTTTAATCTTATTTCAATAATTCACTTGCACGTAGGGATCTTTAGCTGTGGGAGGAAACCAGGGGGCCCGGAGAAAACCCACGAGGTTGGACAGGCGACCCTACTCCTTGTTACGTACAACCGGGGATTCGACCCACGTGAGAGGCAACCCACAAATACAAAACATGAAAAGGTCATATTTCACAAACAGTTCTAGGTTGTCTGTTACACACACCTGATATCATATGCTTTCAATTAAATAAATCAATAACTTACCTAAAGAATGAGCAATTATTGAGACTTTGCCTCGATTGGCCTCAAAATAAGGATGTCGTGAACAAAACATTTTGTAAAGTCGGTTTAGTTCAGACTGAAGGCTGTGGGTGATCTGAAAACCAAAAGATTTAGATAAAGAGCAGATCGTTCTTGCTATAACAGTTCCAAAATAGATAATTCAAAAATAATATATTGAAAATTTCATTCAAATTTCTTAATTCTGAGCGTCGTTATCACTGTTTGAAGTTATTATCGCAGCAACGTCACTTGTTAATCGAGTCTCAGCCTCGCTTCTCCATTGTTAAATTAAATCATTAAATGGTGGTCATATTTTAATCTGTTTACATCTGCGCCACCTTCTGATGACCTAGAGAGTTGATCTGAAAGAAATTAACGCCAAATACGCAGGATTGAATGATACTCTGGTCTCAGTGACAGTGGACTTGTATCATAAACTAGCCTCTGATCTATACAGTGGACTTACTAACCTCTGATCAATACAGCTGACTTACTAGCCTCTGATCTATATAGTGGACTTACTAGCCTCTGGTTTTATACAGTGGACTTACTAACCTCTGATCTATACAGTGGACTTGTATAATATAATATATCCATGGCACTAGAGTTTAATATATTTCTTACACCTTTCATCTTGTTAGGAGTTATATTATCAACAGTATCTACAAAAAAAAATAAAAAATTTAAACAAGATTCTATAAACGGAAATAAAAAAATTCGCAGGATTCAAGATAGTTGCTAATCATTTATCAGAGAGAGAGAGAGAGAGAGGTTTAACGTCCACTCGACACAAACTAGCTCATTTTGGGACTAACATATGGTTTTTTTTTAAATTTTATTTCAATAATTCGCTTGCGCATAGGGGTCTTTAGCAGTGGGAGGAAACCGGCGGACCTGGAGAAAACCCATGAGGTTGGTCAGGTTACCCTACTCCTTGTCACGTACAACCGGGGATTCGAAACCATGCCAGTTGACTCAATGACAGGCATATGATACAGCGTGCACATGCTAACCATTCGGCCATCCAACCCTCCTAATCATTTATCAAGACCCCAAAGAAATGAAATGCAATGGGGTATAACGTCGTACTGTTCTGTTCTGACTGGGCTAATGAGGGAAATTTTGCCCGGACAGTGGCCCTATGGCCTACTCTTGTATCAAATTCCAACTGCCAAGGGATCTTTTACGTGCATGTCACATTATCTTATCCTTGACCCCAAAGAATAAAAATTGATTTAGTTTGACCTAAAGTCTGTCTCACACGGGCTTGTGTATGGCTCACTACACAACACAGCTTCACAGTTTCTTTGTGAGTAGGGGGTCTTTAGCATTGGAAGGAACGGGAGGGACCCGGAAAACCCATGAAGTTGGGAAGGCAACCCTACTCCTTGTTACGGACAAGCTTGGGATTGAAACCACGCCACTGGACTCAATGACAGACCTTATGATCTAAAGTGCCATGCATTAGACCATAGGTTCAAAACCTGTTTTGGGTGGCGACCCCATTCCAGACCCAGGATCAGATCGCAACCCCTCGAAGAACAAAGTCACATTTTACTATGAAACATCACTTTTATTATTGTTTACTTATTAAAAGTCTGATAACAAATTATTGATTTTTTTAATCAGTGTGATGGTTGCACCTGTTTTTCAGAGAATAGAGAAGTAGTTATATCCATATATACCTTGTGTTGTGTTTTGTTATGAATCGATTATCACAGGTAGATATTTCTGTTGGAAAGCGCGAGACTTGGTATTCGCGATGATATTTTCTATCGAGGAATCTGAGAGGTCTAGAGCTGGGTCCTAGACCAATCGAAATTAGTGACGAAAAATGTAGATTGTAGAGTGTTATGTGAAGGCCTTGATAAGATGTACGGAGTTAAAGCGAGATCAAGCCTTCTATTGAAGATGTATAGATAGCATTTTTTAAAAAAGTTCTCAGACTAGTCCGCAACCCCAAGAAAAGTGCTCGCGACCCAGAGGTTGGGAAACGCCGCATTAGACCACTTGAATACCGAACCCTGCATGCTACAATTGGAAAAAGGAGAAGAGCCTTACAATCTGATTAAAACACCGATCCTATTTCGTTTCGTTTTTTGTAGTTCAAAATTTCATTTTACTTGTCTTTACTACACTAGGATCTGGAAGAGTTGTTATAATATAACCCACGTTCTGGTTGATGTGAGGGATTAGCCAATGAAACAGTCTGTTACGGCGAGTTTTTGGTGCACAGAAACGTGGGTAACCCATTAGAAACATCAACGCTGATTGGTTAATCAAATGTCTGACGTCATAGGGTCAAAAGTCGCTCATATGACCTCTGATGCGACCTTCCACTACAACCGGTCGGATCTTCATCTAGTGTAGGCCATCAAAAGTATAAAAAAAAAATGAAAAAATGAAATATAGATCTGTATTTTAATCAGATTAGTAAATCAATCTATTTTTCCCCGGCGTTATTTACTTTACCTCCGTCAAGTTTTAACGATGACCTCCATTCAACCGGCAAAAATTCAGCTCTCTGGTTGGTTGAATCAAAATCGGGAAAAAATTTATATTTTAAATGGTTGACTTTTGTACGGAGACTGAAATCAAACAAAAAATATCACTGTAATAAGTCAGATCTACACCTAATTCATCTGAGCAGTCTGGCAGTAATTATCAGAAATCATTGAAAATCAATAGACTTCTTCGTCTCATGACCTTGAACACTGTGTATAAATTTAAAGTCAACTTTAGCCTCTACGTATACAGCGTCCACAAGATTTTTCAAAGTGATCAAGGGCCATAACTCTGGAATCAAAGCCATGCCACTTGACTCAATGACAGACCCTATGAAGTAATGTGTATTAATTAACCTTACGGCCACCATATTGCTCTCACTAAATGCCCTTTAAAGATATCATTTGTAATGTATTGGACGTTTTTAATGTAATGTATAAATATTATCATGTGTAATATATTGGACATTAAATTGTAATAAACAACAACAACATATTGTATCAGAATTTACTTCATTTCAAGTTTAAAATTCATTAGATTTTGAGTGTATTCCCATTATATCAGAATTGAATTAATCAATTCATTCAAAGTTTAAAATTTTATTTAGTGTAATCCAACTGGATATTACATCATTTAAAGATTAAAATTCGTCAGATTATTTAGTGCAATCTAATTGTACATGTTTTGGAATTTACTTTATTTAAAAGTTTTAAATTCGTTAGATTTTGAGTATAATCTAAATGTATCAAAATTTACTTTATTTAAAGTTTTAAATTCATTAGACTTTGAGTGTAATCTAATTATATTAGAATTAATTTGATCAACAATGACTAATTATATTGATATGACTGAACGACACAATATAACAACCCACTTATTCTAAAACAATGGAAGAGAAATCATATTCTGTCAATCAGCTGTAAATTATATGTCACAGGAAATCATGCTATCTTTCCACCACCTACACCAACTACTTGAGATACTTCAACAAGAGTTTGTCCATTAAAGGAGGCAAGTCTCTAACTCAATATCATCCACAGTTTTCAAGGGTATATAAAATAGCTAATTAAGTCTCTAAATCAATATCATCCAGTCTTCGACATTGCAAACTCGACTAATTGGTGATCATGTTATCTTACTGTGAAAAGATGAGCTTCTGATATCTAAGTCAAGGAGTTCAAGGAATGCTTCAAAAAATACCATACTCTAGTAATTAGCACCTCAACAAGCATAGATATTTGATAATTATATGTTTCTGGTTATTTTGAGAATGAGGGTGATATAGTGTCCCTTTATATTATAAAGTATGTACAATACCCTTATTACAGGGGTTTTAAAGGTATTCAATGAATGTGTTAACCCTTGTCGGTGCACGTTGTGAGTATAACATATCAGGTATCAAGGGGTCCATATGGACCCCAGTTATAATTCAAAGTTTTTACGTACAGATACATGTATGTCTGAATTAAAAGGCTGGGGTTTAGTTTTTATTTGTATTCATATTTGACAAGTGAAAAACAACTAAATCATTATACAAAAACATTTTAGTGACATTTGGAAAAGATTTAATAATTCTCACAAAATTGCTACTTTGTGTACTATGTGATAAAGAGGTTAAATGGCTATTCACGCTTGATACAAAAACCATTCAATATTTGGAATTCATCATTTAATTTTTGGTATTTGTAACATGCAGGTGTTAAAAGAGAGAACACTCTGGCATACACAATATGGTATCAGGCAGCAAACACATTAGCAAAATCCCAACTGTTGTAAGTTAGGGGTCCAATAACCCCTTGTTCCCCTCAAGTTTTGGGCCTGATTTGCATGTAACATAACTCTGCATGTGAAAAGCAGATGAATACCAAACTCTTCGCTACGTGTAAAAATGTATAGGAGACAAAGTCACTAAATTTCAGAAAGCAGTGCCCATTAGTTATTACAAAACACTATAAAACATGTGCATGGGGTCCACAGAGACCCCACGTTCACCGACAAGGGTTAAACAATAATACACTCTTAAGTATCTTATTAGGTGTGTCCATTGTGAGTATGATTTAAAATTAATTACATTTTATTTACAATTCCTCTTTAACATTTATGTACAATACCCTAATTTAATACCCTATTTTTTGTGGTATTGATAGAGTTCAAGGTTATTTTGGGTATGATATTATATATATAAGAGTGTTAGTGTCTCTTTAAATTCTACGTACAATACCCTAATTATGGTCCTAGTTTTCAATTTAGTTGAAATTAGTTGTACCTGATAATGGCTTCTGTCTAGTGATGATGGGTAGAAATGAAGCTGATAATGGCTTCAGTCTAGTGAAGTCAACTAGAAGCCAATTAATGATGTTACATAAATGACAAATCTTACGACATCACGGCCATTTCATCTGACCAGAATTACCCACGGAAAAATCAATATAAATCTGACATATAGCAAGTGTCTGACCGTCCATTAATGGGATTATTACAGATATTTGATACAGTTAGATAATAGTTATCGAATGGTCATACTGACCAGTTACACCCAGAGGTTGCAGTCAGCAAATTAGAGAGAGAGAGAAAGAGAGAGAGAGAGAGAAAGAGAGAGAGGGGGTTTAACATCCACTTGACACAAACTAGGTCATTTCGGCACTAACATCTAATTTAATTTTATTTCATTAATTCGTTTCCCCGTATGGGTTTTTTAGCAGTGGGAGGAAACCGGAGGGGAAAACCATGAGGTTTGACAGGCGAGCCTACTCCTTGTCACATACAAGCAAGGAAGCAAAACCACACCACTTGACTCAACAACAGACCTTATGATACAACGCCCACACATTAACCACTCGGCCACCCAACTCTCCAGCACACAGAGGACTATTTACTCTGAGAATAGATCTCTGTCCAAAATGGCCGCCATATTCAAAATTTAGTACTGGGGTATTCTATTTTGTAAGGATGTTTTAAACCACCATTTTACCATCTTTCAAACACACAAAGACTAAATAAATAATTTTAAAAATTCTTAAAGTAATATACTTAGCAGAGAGAGAGAGAAAGAGAGAGAGAGAGAGAGAGAGAGAGAGATGGGGTTTAAGTCCACTCTACTCCATACTAGGTCATTTTAGGACTAACACATGGTTCAATTTTATTTCAATAAATTGCCTGCGCGTAGGGGTCTTTAGCAGTGGGAGGAAACCGAAGGACCCGGAGAAAACCCACGAGGTTGGACAGACGACCCTTCTCCTTGTCACGTACAAGTAATCAAAACGACGCCAGTTGACTCAATGAAAGACCTTATGATACAGGGCACGTGCTCACCATTCGCCCCCCCCCCCCATTCCTTGAAGAACATGAAGATCCGTAAATAAGAAGTAAATAAGAAGCTCCACGTAGTGCCTAAACTGAAAACCGCCATGATAGTGTTGTGTTTAGATGCAGACATAAAATTTTTTTTGTCAAGAATGCATTACACCCACCCTACCCTACCCTAAATTTAAATAATTAACTTACTCTCTACAACATTTAACGATGCTTCCAGTTTCCATTTTCTGTCCGATACCATGTATTACAAACACTAGGTGCGTTATGTCTGGTGGTTTATCATCCATTATAGCTTCATAACAATACGCCCGATGTAACCTAGTACCAGCTGAAACATAGTAACAACATCGTAATCATTATAGATACGTAACAATACACCCAATGTAACCTAGTACCAGCTGAAACATAGTAACAACATTGTAATCATTATAGATACGTAACAATACGCCCGATGTAACCTAGAACCAGCTGAAACATAGCAACAACAGCGTTTTAATCATTATATATAGCTTCGTAACAATACGCCCGATGTAACCTAGTACAAGCTGAAACATAGCAACAACAACGTTTTAATCATTATATATAGCTTCGTAACAATACGCCCGATGTAACCTAGTACCAGCTGAAACATAGTAACAACATCGTAATCATTATAGATTCGTAACAATACGCCCGATGTTACTCACTGAGCAATCTGATTAAAACATAGTTCCTATTTTGTTTTACTTGTCTTTACTACACTAGGATCTGGAAGAGTTGTTATATAACCCACATTCTGGTGTGAGGGATTAGCCAATAAAATGGTCTGTTACGGCGAATTCTTGGTGTGTGATGCATGGAACTGTGGGTAAACCACTAGAAACGTCAACACTGGTTGATTAATCAATGTCTGATGTTGTGGACTCTAAAGCCGCTTGTATGACCTCTGACGCGACCTCCCACTACAACAGGTCAGATCTTTATGTAGTGTAGGCCATCGAAAGTATAAAAATCGAAAAAAAATGAAATATAGATCTGTATTTTAATCAGATTACTCACCGAGCCACTGTGGCTCCTAGTAGTACTATATCTAGATTGCGAAGATGGGTAGCTATAGTATATATATGGGGAGATAAGTTGATCGACTTTCTTGTCTTAAAGATACTTACATTTCTGCCAACCAAAGGAATGGGTGACTTTTCTCATAAATTTGGAGGAAGCAGATTCACTGAAGAGGAAGACTTCATTGGCTGAATTCCAGTCAATGTGAAATTCATGAAATTTTATGTTGTGTATCACTGAAATAGAGCAAATAAGTATAAGTTGTTATAGAGATGAAATAAAATGAAATGGGGGTTTAACGTCCTACTGTTCTGCTTCGAACTGGGCTAATGAAGACGGGCATACGCCATACAGTGTGCTATGACAGCGGCACTACTGCCTACTCTTTTGTATTTATCTTCCGTAAACCTAGAAATAATTTTACTTTAGGTTATCTTCATATATATATGCTTCATTTGAGTTACCATAACTAACAAATACTTACTGTACTTTTATATTTATATAGGAACCACATATTGCCATATGACACAGGTTAAAATCAATGACCTGTTGTCCTCTAATATACATGTAGGTACAGGTCTAGAGCATTAAACAACTTATATGACACAGGTTAAAATCAATGACCTGCTGTTTCTCTAATATAGATATCTATATAGGTCTCGCGCATTAATCAACTTATCATACGACACAGGTTAAAATCATTGACCTGTTCTATAATATAGGTATCTAAAGGTCTACAACATTAATCAACTTATAGTATGAATAACAATATGAAATATAAATTGGCCATTATTCAACCTGTCATCTATTGTCTGGTTTCTAACTACCACATAAAGATTTTTATTATCAGGAATATTCCACAGTGTTCTCAAGAGAGACTGGGTGACAAAATAAAACAGGACAGATAATATAGATGAAAAGAGAACTCAAAAGGGAATTAGAACTTTCGAAATCTTTGACAATAATATCTGAGTTGCCATAATATGACATAAAATTGATAATATAAATGAAATGAAATGTTCTGCCATAATCCAGGGGAAGTTGTCCGATATGCGCAAGTATCGAAAGGAACCCAGTTATAAACATATATTTTAAATCTTATCAAAATCAGATAAAAATTGTCCACAACCTTTTTATTACATACTTTTACACTATTTGCGTACAGGGAGTGGCCATTTTGTTGGCCCATTTCGATCTGATTTTCACAAAACTCTAAGTCAACAGTCTTTATGGTCTAATGGTGATATAATCGGATGAACAGGGCGACAACAATGTACATCCACTTGACAATGTGGGCGTATAAAAATTGTACCATACGCTAGTCCTGAAAATGACCTACCAGTAGTTTTATCTAAATCTTACATGACGCATCTTAAAGATTGTCTCAGAAATTGAGGGAGCTACGAGGGCTAAGTGAGTAAGAGGCGCTGTTCGATCCCCGCATTGCCCAAGAAAGTTCATCGGGATTTTCCTGCGTTGTTTCCCCTTGTCAGTGATGCAGGAGGGAGGGTCTGACAAGGACAGCTGTCCTGTCATTCAAATGGTTCGAAAAACCGAGGTCCCGTGTATACATTGGCATGCACATAAAAGATCCCTTGGCAGTTGGAATTCAATATAACAGTACGCCGTAGTGCCACTGTCAGGGCTAAATTTCCCTCATAGCACACTGTATAGCATATACATGTGTTCATTAGCCCAATTGGAACAGAACAGTGGGACGTTAAAACCCATTTCATTTGTCTCAGAAATTGCTTAGGATTTATAAGAATACATGTATATTAAAACTCTATTTTAGTAACAAATACTTCAGTCGGTGTATTTAATACAAGTTAATTCAAATCAAAATAAAAAGTGTCATTCTAAAGGGTTATTGCCATGGTTACACTTTCTTATCTTCTGGGCAAATTCTCATAAAACTCTAGAAATGGGGAAAAAACTAGACAAGGTTTGGTGTTTTTATCTGTAAATGAATCCATGACAAATAACTCTTCATTGTGTTCAATATATATTGTAAAATCTGTCTCAGTATATTCTCAGATAGAGAAATGAAGCCACTCAATATCATTTAGATCATTTAATGACTAACATGTGATATATTTTTATTTAAATACCCAGTACTTTGTTTGTCAATAGTGTCTTAAGTAGTGGGAAAAAAACTGGAAGATCAATAATGTTATGTACATGTAGCATCCTCCATCCTACTCAGGGGGGTTGGGTGGCTGAATAGTTAACAAACGGTCTGTCATTGAGTCAAGTGGCGTGGTTTTGATTCCCCACTTGTACATGTACGTGACAAAAAGTTGGGTCAAGCCTCGTGGGTTTTCTCTGTGATCTTCCAGTTTCCTCCCACAGATAAGACCCCTATGCGCAAGCGAATTATTGAAATAAATTAGAACAATATGTTAGTCCCGAAATGAGCTAGTTTGTTACGAGTGGACGGTAAACCCCATTTCTCTATCTTTCCCACTCTATTCCATGTCACATGTAGACACCTGGTTTTGAAACCACACCACACGACTCAATGACAGCTGAACCATATGATCTATGTGATATTTGACCAATCGGCCACCCAACCCCCTAAAGCCCTCATCACACCAAACTAGTTCTCACAACGTTCTGGGAAAGACCATAGAAAAGCATATTGTGTTTCTTGCTACCCAGAAATCACACTGCATAGTGGCATAGGAATCTCCTGTTGCGAGATGACACAGTGTGATTTCAAGCTTCATCCCAACTACAGTCAGAACTAGTTTGATGTGACGGGGGCTTAAAGGTTTAATAATATATGATATATTACCAGGTTTTGTTCCTTTCCCACCAGGCACTGATGGTACATCAACTATTTTCTGTCCCATAAATTTAGCTAAATGTTCTGTCTCTAATTGTGTAGCATAACCTTCCTGTAATGGCTGCCATGTTCCATCGTAAAACCATGTTCCCCTCATAATATTGGATATATCACCTGAAATATAGAAATTTGTTCGTCAGTTATTTATTTAACAAATGTTTAATACAAATTAAACTAACCATGGACTGAAAACTGTATTCAAAATTCAAACTAACATGTATATCTGATGAGATAAAGTATTTCAAGCAATGCACAAGTGCACCCATTAGACCATTCGGTCACCAACCCTCCATGATGGTTAAAAGTAAACACCATAGTTGTAATATGTATAAGAGAGAAGGAAAGAGACAGAGAGAGAGACACACACACACACAGAGGTAGAGGGAAGAGAGAGAGAGAGAGAGAGAGAGAGAGAGAGAGAGAGGTCATAAGTTTGGACAGAAAACCCTACTGCTTTGATCTTACTGATATTCACATACAAGCGAGAGACACACACACACAGGGAGAGGACAAGAGAGAGAGAGAGAGAGAGAGAGAGAGAGTGAGAGAGAGAGAGTTCATGAGTTTGGACAGGCGACCTTACTGCTTGCCACCTACAAGCTGGGAATTGAAACCACACCACTTGAGTCAATAATAGACCTAATGATCTACATGTAAGCACAGTATTAAACCATTCGGCCATCCTCATGCAGTTACCGTTATACACCTGAACTCACATGTACATTATTACTTTTACATGTACATGTTATACATGTATACTGTATGCTTCATGAAATAGGATGGCTAGTGGTCAGTATAAAATATATAACTTTATATGTACATGTATATACATATATTGTATGCTTCATGAAATAGGATGGCTAGTGGTCAGTATAAAATATATAGATTTATGTACATGTAACTTCACGTACACAAGGATAAGCTATCATATTTAATATTAAAATGGGACCCTGGCTAGTGATCAGTATGAAATATATATTTACCTATACAAGGTTTAGCTATTATGTACCTACAAGAATTAGCTCTCATGTACATATCAAGGTCTAGCTATGTACATGTACTTTTGTACAAAAGAGGTAGCTATCATATACCCATACAAGGTTTAACTATCATGTACATATACATATACCCATACAAGGATTAGCTATCATGTACATTACCCATACAAGGTTTAGCTATCATGTACATGTACCCATACAAGGATTAGCTATCATGTACATTACCCATACAAGGAATAGATATCATGTACATGTACCCATACAAGGATTAGTTATCATGTACATACCCATACAAGGATTAGCTACCATGTACATGTACCCATACAAGGAATAGCTAAGATGTACATTACCCATAAAAGGAATAGATATCATATACCTTTACCCATACAAGGATTAGTTTTAATTTTTAAGTAGATCCATCTACATGTATTTATAATGAGTAGTATATACAAGGATAAGCTATCTACATGTATCATTAGATATCAGCTACATGTATATACATGTATATCATTATAGTAGATCCATCTACAAGTACATGTATTTATAATGAGTAGTATACAAGGAATAGCTATCATGTAGCTACAGCTCCCGTCAAAAGGCAAAACCTAGTAACTCACATTTTTCTTATTTTGAGAAAACAAAGGAAATTGTAATGAATGAATATCAAATGCCAGCTCATCCACTGATTTGACTACTATTGAGTTACTAGGTTTTGCTGTGGTATACTAGGCAAATGAAGGAAGTTGCTAGGTTGTGTCATGGGTGTAACTGCTTACAAAATCAAAAGATTGGAATATCTATTACAACAACAGGAGGCACATACCCTAGTAACTACAAATTTGGTCCTAACTCAATTCTGATAAAAAAAAGTGAGTTACTAAGTTTTGCCTTTTGACGGGAGACATGTACATGTATCATTATATCAGCTAGTAGCTAATATGTCATTATTTCAGCTACATGTATATTAGTAGATCCATCTGTGTAATGACCTAATATAAAATCTGTGGTGATAAAACCAACAATCAGTGTTAATAGTTGTACAAACCATTAAATATAACATGAGTCATACTATACCTAACAACATGATATAAAATAACCTGAATGGTTAATTATTAAAGGTCATTTAGTCAATAATAACGAGCGAAGGATGTTGTTTCCTACAGGCACAATCCTACGGCCTTCTACCAAGAAAAATTTGTACTTTTGTCCAGACATGTTTAAAGATGAGAGAGAGAGAGAGAGATGGGATTTAACGTCCATGCGACACAAACTAGATCATTTCGGGACAATCACATGGCTCAATTTTTTTTCAATAATTCGCATGTGCGTAGGGGTCTTTAGCAGTAGGAGGAAACCGGAGGACCATGAGAAAACCCACGAGGTTGGACAGGCAACCCTACTCCTTGTCATGTACATGTGTACAATCAGGCAATCGAAACCATGCCATTTGACTCACTGAGAGATTTTATGTTACAACGCTGCACGCACGTATGTCCAACCCACACAGCCATCCAACCCCTCCATTAGATAAAGAGCTGGCTGTTCAAAAACAGATAATGAAAAATTAATCATCATTGCTTGATAACGGTGAGAGTATCCTCATTGAAAGGTTGCAGTTAAACATACATTATGCAAGAGCTAAATCTGCCCATATTTTAGGTCTTTCTTTAGGACTGAAATCTTATCTACATTATAAATTAGACATTAATTAACCTATCCAGGCCATAATCAACTCTAGATGGCAGTGCTAGCCTGTGATCTTTAGTGGACTGTAAGCCGATTTACTGCATAACTTTCCTTCTCGATTAAACAAATTAAATGGATAATCGAGACTATGCTGTTTATCATACTGACTTTAGTAATGATGACCGAGGCTTATGGGAATTTCAGTCGCTTAGTTCTCGGTTCATAGTGGATCAATTTGAATGAAATTTTCACCAAATTGCCTTTACATTATCTAGTTTTTAATTATTATAGTGAGAACTGCCAACTCGTTACCGAATCTCCCATAATGTATCTTTAATAAACATCCATAAAGCTGTCTGTTATAATATATCGCTTTCACTAAATGCCCTTTAAACATTAAAGATAGGAAGAATTAATATATTGAAAATTTCATTCAAATTACATTTTGGGAGGAAACCGGGGGACCTGAAGAAAACTCACAAGAAAGACCTGCAATAGACAGATTTACATGTAGCTCTTGCATAATGCATCTTGAATTGAGCATCTTTCTATTTTAACACAATGTCATTTAAAGCCCTAGAGGGGTGTTGGATGGCCGAATGGTTAGCACCTTGGCGCTGTATCATGAGGCCTGTCATTGAGTCAACTGGGGTTGTTTCGATTCCCCGGTTGTACGTGACAAGGAGTAGAGTTGCCTGTCTAACCTTGTGGGTTTTCTCCGGGTCCTCCGGTTTCCTCCCACTGCTAAAGACACCTATGCGCAAGCGAATTATTCAAATAAAATTGAACCATGTATTAGTCCCGAAATGACCTAGTTTGTGTCGAGTGGACATTAAACCCCATTTCTCTCTCTCTTTTTAAAAGCCCCAAAGCTCTTGTCTATCACTTTAAAACCAGTGTGGCTTTATTCTATCTAAAAACAATCATTTAAAGAAATGAAAAAAAAAAAGAAATGAAATGAAAAGAAAAACGTCCTACTTTTCTACACCAAATGGGCTAATGCAATGGCTAATGTACATGTCATGTAGTGTGTTACATTAATTGTACGAGGGAAATTTGGCTAAACAGTTTTGCTACAGGCTACTGCAGTACCATAGAGGGTCTAGTAGAGTCGCAGCTTGCATTCTCTTTTCTTCTTGTGGACAGCTTGTTTGTAAGGGCATTAACCAGTCATGGCAACCTTTTAAATCAATTTCCCTCATATCAAACTTTATGGCATATGGCATATGCCAATATTCATAGCCCAGAGTAGAACATTTCATTTCATTTCATTTGTTAAAGTAGCCAAGTCTCTAACTCAATTTCATCCAAAGTCTTACACGTTGATACAAATTATTTACCAGGAAAAAGTAGGCTTCTGATATCAAATATTTAAGACAAAATAAACATTTTACCATTGGTACACGAATCGTGTACCATAGTGCGTTTCAGCGTCATTTGTAACAAGTGACCAGAAAGAACGAGGCTAGACATATTCCACAACTCATGTCAAGCGGTGACACTATAACTTATCTAGAGAGCATGCGTAATAAACTGGAATAACCAGACGCTAGAAATTGCTATTCGGTTGAGACTCATGGAGTATTTCGCTGGACATAACTGATTTGAAATTAGAATCAAAACGGAAACAATTGAATGTAAATCAGTTTATATACAATCAGATTACATTATTATATGCATTGCGACCCATTCGTGTCAATTTCTAGGACCCAAATATTAGCGATTTAGCTCCTTTAAATACATGTAATCAATCTGATGATATCTAAGTACCGACTAAGCTGTGAAAAACTAGATATTGTCAAGATAAATGCCAATCAACAGCTTTAAAGACTCGTGTGTTTTCTAATATCTAAAAGTAAACTTGCATGTCCGTGTCACGTCTGATCCATCTGCTATCATTGTTTTCTCAAAATCAATAAAATTTCTTCAACGGCACAAAGCAGCATTAATAAAGTAGCTATATTTGTAAGTCTCTAACTCAATATCATCCAAAGTAGCATGAACTTATTTAAACATACATTATGCAAGCGCTAAATCTGTCTATTGCAGGTCTTTCTTTAGGTCTGAAATGTTATCTAAATTATTAATTAGACATTAATTAACTTATCCAGACCATAATCAAATGTCGATGGCATCGCTAGCCTGCGATCTTTAGTGGGTTATGAGCCGATTTACTTCACGATTTAACGATTAAATGGATAATTGAGACTATGTTATTTATCGTGCTGACTTTAGTAATGATGATCAAGGCTAGGCGGAAATTTCAACCACTTAGTTCTCGGTTCAAAGTGGATCAATTTGAATGAAATTTTCAGCAAATTCCCTTTACATTATCTAGTTGTTAACTATTATAGTGAGAACTGCCAACTCGTTATCTAATCTCCCATAATGTATCTTTAATTACCTACACAATATTCCACAGAATTATCT